AATTGATGTACCGCGAAAGGGAAAGAGAGAAAAAAAAGAAAAAGGAAAAAAAAGGAACTTTAATATAAGGTCACATAAGTTGACAATTGCATTATCCGTACTTAAAGCAAACTTATCAGCTAAGGGGTTGAGGAAAATCTAGGAAGATGCATGTTTCTAGAAACTTGAGGAGTACACACATCGGGCCTAACTACCTACGTTTTCCGTGTTCTAATTAATATTCTTGGGTGTTTATCGTGTGCATACCGTTGGTATACATGCCTTTATTTCTAACCAAGAAAAGAATTGCACATCGCAATTAATCTAACTCAGCCCTTATTTGACAACAATGATGTTATTTAGCACAAATTACGCTAGAACGTATGTAGACATACTTAATATATTCAATTAAAAATTTTATGTGACATTGTATTTAATTGAATATATCATTTAATGTTATACAATTGTCATTTAAATTGATACCTTATATTATTTATACTAAATAGCATTACTCTTAAAGCAACTTTTTTTTGTTTCTCGAACTCAGTTAAGCATACGTTCTCAAAAAAAATAATAATAATAAATAAATAAATAAATTTGCACGTCAAACCAAAACTTTTTCATTTTTTTATCACTCGTTCTCCAAAAAAATTACTATTTCAAAACTCATTTTTCTTAATAAAAAAATTCATTTCAATAATTGTCAAACAATCGCTCAATCTTTAGACAAAATTTTGTCATATTAAGAGGCTAATTACAAAATCAAAGTATCAGTGACCAACATTCGAATCATAGATCGTAGTCATGCACCGAATTAAATTATCTAAATAATTGTATGATAAATCGAGAACTCAATCTCCCAGCCAATTCTACTAGATCTGTGTCTGCTATGCATACTAACGTGTGTTTGAGATGCATTTGATTATGCCATAAAGATATACCAATGACATATCAGATTTACTAAATAATAAGATACTAACAAATTTCGAGAACGTTAGTATTTCGAGAAATACAATGAATTAAAAAATATTTCGAGACACGCAAGGTGACGAGAAGCAATAGTATTTCTAACTACCAACTTATTGGAATTGTTAGCAGTGACGAACGTAAAATTATGAGTTAGTGAGGCATAATTAAACTTGCAAAAAATGCAGATTTAAATTTATACAAATACCACTATGTTTGTCATCATTTTTATCTCCGACATAATTTTCATTACTTTTCTCGAATATTCATTTCATTAACATTGTGATCATAAAAAAATGCATATTTACGTTTAAATTATTTTTTCATCACAATTAACTCAAGTGAAACATACAAAAATTACATCAATTTCGAAGTTAAATTATAAAATGCATTCTAGTTCAAACCAAGATAAAAAATTACACAGCAAGAATCTATTACCATAAAATCGCCAAAACAAGATAGAAATTGGAGCACTTAAATGGATACCTAATTCCATTTCATAAAAAGATACAAAAGAAATCATAAAAAAGAAATAACTTCCTAAAAAATGAGGCATATAACTTTTGAATAATGAATCTTTCGAGTGAATTATCTAAATGGTCACTGAACTTTGCAAATTCAAGGGGTCACTGAACTTTGAAAATCACTTCAATGGTCACTGAACTTTGTAAAATATTTTTTTGAGGTTATTGAATTTTAAAAATCATCTAATTGATCACTGAACTTTGCAAAATGTTTCCACGAGGTCACTGAATTCAGTGACATTTGGGAAACCTTCTGCAAAGTTTAGTGACTATTTATGTGATTTTTAAAATTCAGTGACTCCGTATAAATCTTTCGTAAAGTTCAGTGACCATTTGGACAATTCACTCGAATCTTTCACGTTCTTTGAAAAATTAAAACTTCATTCAATGTTTTCAAATTTAAAGTTCTCATGCTTCAAATCTAATATCCCTTATTATAAAAAAGGAAAAAAAAAAAAAACTCAATTTTAAGTTGGTGGGTCGCTTGTTAGTGTTTCTTTTTTTAGTTGAAGGTTACAATTTATGTCCTCTTCCAAAGTTTTATTTTCACTTCATTTGTTATAACTTATCAATCTCGAATAGTCAAATCAAAAAGTAACTTATGTGAAAGAATCTCATCCATCCTCTCGTCACAAGTTGTTAATGAGAAAAAGCAAATGCTTGTATTAGTCCTTAGCGACAAAAGCAATGACATAACTCGGCTGTTTTATCATTTAATAAAATACTAGTTTCTATTCACTTAAATAAATATCAAATTATTACATATAAAACATAAAATTCTAGAATCATCTCTTTCATTAGTTTGAATAATTTTATTTATTTCTATAAACATATTTAGCGGGATTCCTCCAGTGGTGGTCACGTTAAATGAGTCAAAATTCATACAATTTTAGAACACGAAACACGTGCTACAAACTACTAAAGAATAAATTTTTGGTAATCTAATTTATTTATGAAAAACAATAACTTAACAGATAATCCGAAAATTAAGAAAAAGATTCGAAAGGACAAAATTTTGCATGTTGTCACATGATTGCCTGCGGTCGGTTCCACCATATCCGCTTGATTTTCATCAACAAATTATTATTCTAGATAATCCACGTACCACACACCATGATCATCATCAAAATTATAGTCCCTGTTTGATTCTCATTCTTATGAAAATAAGAATGAAAAATATAGTTATTACAGGACCTAAATAAGAGAGAAGAAGTCAAATATGGTGGTTTGACGTGATGGATAACGATCATATTTTTTTATTTTATTGGCCAACAAATAGAAAACAAACGGGGCCATAATTAGATGATTATTCCTTTTTTAAAGTAAAGTGATAATGTATACAGGTTATCACAATTAGAACATGTTTGGTATATATTAAAATTTAATTTAATTTAAATCAAAATCAAACAATCAATATTAATCACATTTTTATGAGTCCTACAACTTTTCAATTACACATTTCAAAAATTTCTATCACAATATAGTAAAAAAATCTAATTTTAATCCCTATGAAACACCCTCTTAATATAATTTATTACTTAACTAACTAACAAATAAGTGAATTACGCAATTAAAATTTGTAAGATAATTAACTTGGCGAGTAAATAAATTAAAATCAAATTAATCTGGACATAAATAAACAATATTTATTAATTAATTAATAATCGATTGCAGTTTAGAAAATTGCTCAGTATTGCAGCTAGTCAACGCAGGGAACGGAGAATTTCAGAGAGAGAAATAGAGAGCAGCACCCCGGATTAATTTCCTTTTTTGTCACTAATCTTTAAGTGAAAATCTCGATTGAGCGACCTATTTTTAGTTTATCTCAATTAAATCACATGTTTTTAATTTACTTCAAGTTAGTCACTATGTTAGCTCAATTATTAAACTTAACATCCTAAGTGAGAGTAAATTTTTTTAACTATTATAACATTTCTTACGTTTCAAGTAAACGTAAGTCATGATTGTAAAATTTGAAAATAAATAGTTTAGAAAATTAATAATAATTCATTTGATCGAGCATACCTAGAGCTTTATTCACCATCGATATAGATGACGAATAAAAAAAATTCTAAACAATTCTGAAAAAAATATATAATGTGTATCTAATCATAACATTTCATTACACTGACAAGTAAAAAAAAAAAAAAAAAAATCATATTCACAATCATCATCAAAATTATAATCCCTGTCTGATTCTCATTCTTATTTTCATTAGAATGAAAAATATAGTTGTTACAGGACCTAAATAAGAGAGAAGAAGTCAAATATGGTGGTTTGACGTGATGAATAACGATCATATTTTTCATTTTGTGGACCAAAAAATAGGAAACAAAAGGGGCCATAATTAGATGATTATTCCTTTTTTAAAGTAAAGTGACAGTGTATACAGATTATCACAATTAGAACATGTTTGGTATATATTAAAATTTAATTTAATTTAAATCAAAATCAAATAATCAATATTAATTACATTTTTATGAGTCCTACAACTTTTCAATTACACATTTCAAAAATTTCTATCACAATATAGTAAAAAATCTAATTTTAATCCCTATGAAACACCCTCTTAATATAATTTATTACTTAACTAACTAACAAATAAGTGAATTACGCAATTAAAATTTGTAAGATAATTAACCTGGCGAGTAAATAAATTAAAATCAAATTAATCTGGACATAAATAAACAATATTTATTAATTAATTAATAATCGATTGCAGTTTAGAAAATTGCTCAGTATTGCAGTTAGTCAACGCAGGGAACGGAGAATTTCAGAGAGAGAAATAGAGAGCAGCATCCCGGATTAATTTCCTTTTTTGTCACTAATCTTTAAGTGAAAATCTCGATTGAGCGACCTATTTTTAGTTTATCTCAATCAAATCACAAGTTTTTAATTTACTTCAAGTTAGTCACTATGTTAGCTCAATTATTAAACTTAACATCCTAAGTGAAAGTAAATTTTTTTAACTATTATAACATTTCTTACGTTTCAAGTAAACGTAAGTCATGATTGTAAAATTTAAAAATAAATAGTTTAGAAAATTAATAATAATTCATTTGATCGAGCATACCTAGATCTTTATTCATCATCGATATAGATGACGAATAAAAAAAATTCTAGACAATTCTTAAAAAAAATATATATAATGTGTATCTAATCATAACATTTCATTACGCTTACAAGTAAAAAAAGAAAAATCATATTCAAACTATAACAGTAGAAGAATAGTTGGGCAATTTGGTCTGTTGTTTAGTAGCAACTTGAATTCAAATTTCTCGAAGGTACTCCATTTTCAACATTTTGCACTAACAAATGTGACTCGGTCGTATATTTACTCTGAAAATGGGGTAAAGGGATGATTGAGCCGTTAAGTTTAACTACTCGGGCTAATAGAATGACTAGTAGTAAACTAAATTGAAGTTCAGGTATCTAATTGTGACAATTCAAAGTTCGATGACCTAATTGAGATTTCACTGGAAGTTAAGTGAAGAAAAATGATATTAACCTTAGGCTTCCATATTTGACCGATGCCTTTCAAGTAAAGTCACACATACGCATACAGCAATGAACCTTAATTTGCCCCCTCTTCCATTTTTATTTTTGCACCTTCTTCTTCCAAACCCACCATTTCACTCTCTCTGTGTTGAATAAATAAGATATGGGATTCTCTAAAGAAGAGAGAAGAAAGAGATTTGTAAGATGGATCAAAACCCTCTTCTTCTTAATCGCCATGTTAATGTCTCTTCTCCTATTCTCAGCACCCATTCTTCTAGTCATCGCCGATGCCCTTCTTCCTTCAGCGCTATTATCGGCTTCTCTTTCGCTTAATCTACAAGCTCTTTCTTCTCATGTAAACAACTACGACTTCCGATCCTCACTCATCGACATCCCTCTCGTATCCATCATTCGAGCAGCCATTATATTATGTAAGTATTAACCATAATAACCCATTTTCTTTTTTTAATTTGATTTTCATTTTTATTGATTGATTTTCTGTTTTGAATAGGCGTTTATAGTTTTTGCGACGGCTTGAATTCAAATTTCTCGAAGGTACTCCATTTTCAACATTTTGCACTAACAAATGTGATTCGGTCGTATACTTGCACTAACATATTTGACCGATGCCTTTCAAGTAAAGTCACACATACGCATACAGCAATGAACTTTAATTTGCCCCTCTTCCATTTTTATTTTTGCACCTTCTTCTTCCAAACCCACCATTTCACTATCTCTGTGTTGAATAAATAAGATATGGGATTCTCTAAAGAAGAGAGAAGAAAGAGATTTGTAAGATGGATCAAAACCCTCTTCTTCTTAATCGCCATGTTAATTTCGCTTCTCCTATTCTCAGCACCCATTCTTCTAGTCGTCGCAGATGCCCTTCTTCCTTCAGCCCTATTATCGGCTTCTCTTTCGCTTAATCTACAAGCTCTTTCTACTCATGTAAACAACTACGACTTCCGATCCTCACTCATCGACATCCCTCTCGTATCCATCATTCGAGCAGCCATTATATTATGTAAGTATTAACCATAAGAACCCATTTTCTTTTTTTAATTTGATTTTCATTTTTATTGATTGATTTTCTGTTTTGAATAGGCGTTTATAGTTTTTGCGACGGTCCGAGGCTATCGAGGGGGCCATATTTAGGAATTGCCACCATATGTTCGGTGTTATCTCTCGCGTTCGTGTCGTTGAAGGCTGCTTATGTTTTTAGTGACGGTTCGAGCATCAATAGACGCGGAAACGGTTACTCTCGAGCCGTGGAAGTGACCTTGTTCGCGTGTTCATTTGGGTTGGCAATTGGGCATGTAATTGTGGCGTATAGGACGAGTTGCAGAGAGCGGAGAAAGCTTCTTATTTACAAAATTGACATTGAAGCTGTAAGTCAATCTATCTCTTTGTTTGTGAGCTAAGCAACTAGAAAATAGAAATAAGTATTTATGGTCATTTCACTTGTCGATTGAAAATTTTGGTGGGGTCCACTTAAGCTGTATACATAAGACCAAGAATTGGTCTACTAGAGTTGTTGACGTCTAAAAAATATCAATTCTTCGTGGTTTGGGAGATTCTAGAAGAATCTGGAACTGAGAGCTTTCTTAGGCTCTATATTAATGTTTTGAGTAGTTATTTTTAGTAGAATACGTGGTCAAAAAATAGAAAAAAATTTGAGTGTACATACGGAAAATTCAATCATGTTACAAGTACATAATTTTTTGACAGGAAAACCTTACAGACAATACATGGCGCGACATCATTGAAAGATGAGGAAAAAAAGAAAATACTGTTCACTTACATTTTGCCATGTCAACGTTTGTACAAGTTCTGTTAAATTTTTCCTGTACTTATGACTTTATTGCAGAAAACTTTATCGTACGAGTGTACAGTAAAAAATGAATACCTAGGAAAAATAGTTTTCAAATAATGAGCATAATGTAAGATTTTCGCTAATGTTGGTTGAGTGCATTAAATCAAAATAAACTGGAAAATATTCGTGAATTTCCCAAATTGAGACAAAATGATTTTTGCAAGTAAAAACATGTTTGTTGAATTATTTAATACAACTTCACTGTCCTAAATGTTAATTGCAATCGACGCGGATACGGATACTCTCGAGCCGTGGAAGTGACCTTGTTCGTGTGTTCATTTGGGTTGGCAATTGGGCATGTAATTGTGGCATATAGGACTAGTTGCAGAGAGAGGAGAAAGCTTCTTGTTTACAAAATTGACATTGAAGCCGTAAGTCAATCTCTCTCTTTCTTTGTGAGCTAAGCAACTAGAAAATAGAAATAAGTATTTATGGTCATTTCACTTGTCGATTGAAAATTTAGGTGGGGTCCACTTAAGCTGTATACATAAGACCAAGAATTGGTCTACTAGAGTTGTTGACGTCCAGAAGAATCTGGAACTGAGAGCTTTCTTAGGCTCTATATTATGGTCATTATTTGAGAAAAATAATGTTTTGAGAAGTTATTTTTAGTAGAATACGTGGTCAAAAAATAAAAAAAATTTTGAGTGTATATACAGAAAATTTTATCGTGCGAGTGTTCGGTTAAAAATGAATACGTAGGAAAAAGAGTGTTCAAATAATGAGTATAATGTAAGATTTTCGCTAATGTTGGTTGAGTGCATTAAAGCAAAATAAAATGGAAAATATTTGTGAATTTCCAAATTGAGACAAAATGATTTTTGCAAGTAAAAACATGTTTGTTGAATTATTTAATACAACTTCACTGTCCTAAATGTTAATTTGTGTAAATGTCTAACCTAATGTCACATGGGATTACGGGAACAGGTCTCAGCATGTAAGAATGGATTTCCAAGACATCAAAAATCACTCCAAGTTGGACGAGCAAAGTCAAGACAAAAACAAATATCAATCCCCCATTTTTTCCTTAATCAAATTCAGTTTTCCAAGAGCCAGGTTTCAGGTAAATTGCGTGTATATAACTCTTTAGAGACTTGTGAACCTTTTGTTCATTTTTGTTGTCCAGTTCAGCATTCTCAACACGCTATTTTTATATATGCTCGATTTTTGCAGATTTATCCAAAGGAGATCTGCAGCCAGATGAGGAAAGAAGTAAGGAAACACAGAAGCTGTAGGCTAGTACGTAGTAGTCAACAACATATTTTGTACACGATATAGATATAGGCATATATACGTATATATACACGTATTTCAGTACTTGTCGCGGTACAGAGGCAGTTAGATGGGACGGTGATATCCATTCTGTTTCTGTGTCCCCAAAAAATGTAAATGTGTTTTGTTTTCATTTTATACACGTATTCAAGAGCTGGTGTTGGTTTGCACAAAGTTTTGATTAGAATCGAAGACGTCCGATCTTGATCTTGCATCATACTCGATTGTTACTTGATCACAGTTGATCACGAACCCCCCAAAAAAGGCTCATTATCTGGTTTTTGCAATTCGTTGTTGTTCAATTGATGCAGATAGATTTGTAATGCGTGCCTCCTTCAAGAATCACCCTTTGCTATAAAGGAATCTTTTGAGTTTAAGAGACAACCTATAACAAAAATAATGGATTCAATCTAGACCCGATTTGAATATTCAAAGAACCGCGGCCAATTGTACGAACTTGAATGTTAACTTGGTTATGTAAACTTCTACGAAGATGGTATTGTCGAAAAGTAAAGTATACAAAAGATAATTAGCGAAGTTTTGACTTAGCTCGAGTGCCTTTTTCTTTTTTCTTTTTTTTTTTTTTTTTTTTTTTTTTGTGAGAAAAAAATTATCTTCTATTTTTTTGTGACAAGAACCTTTTGATTCCGAATGTACCTAAGAAAAACTATAAATTTTAATAAAATGTCAGTCATCTCAACTTTTAATCAAAAGACATAAATGATAAGATAGATATAATTAAATTTTTATCATCTAGATGAGGATTGAAATTCACCAAGTAATACTTGCTTCGAGCCAATCCCATTATAAGATAGACTCACCTCAAGTTCAGTTCAATTAGAACATTCCAAAATACCTCCTATGGACATTTTGATAATTGTGTTTAGTCAAGCACAAAAGTGGATGCTATAATAACAATGGATATATTCTTCTTCAAACACTTCTTTAGCGGCTTCATTTGTCACCTATTTTCTCTTGTATGTGAACTTCATCAATGGCTATCATATTTTTGTCAGATCCTCCTTATCTTCTCTGTCATAATCCGGACCATATTTGAAACCATTTTATTAAAAACAGAACATCTCTGATACCAATTTGTTGAGAATCCGGCCAATTAATTAAAGAACAAGAAAATATGAACAATATGGAAACAATGAATTACACAACAAACAAGATCTATGTGGAAACCCAAATCCGGAAAAACCACGGGTAGAGGCAAAGAATTCACTATAATCAATAATAAGAAGTTACAAATGAATTCTTTGGATCAATAACTAATTGGACAATTGATCAATTCCAATTTGTGTTGTATACCATATATTTATAACCAAAGAATCTCTAACATACTATGAGAATTAATACATGAAGGCCTCCGGGGCACAGCTCAACTGGTGGATCAATCAAACATTGTCTTGCTTCCAACGACAGGGTGGAGAGTTCGATTCCTGGTGGGAACCTGCGGCTAAATATTTGGTATGGAGCAATCACTGTAGAGGAGGGTCTCTTATGCGCAGAAGTGTACAGGCAATGGGGGGAACCTGTGATCCAGTTGAGGCATAACCCGCGATTTACCCTCTCCAAGGTTCTAGGGGCAAGGGTCTTGGGGGTCCAGGATTTAGTTTGGTGTAAATTGGTATACCTGGATATCAAAAAAAAAAAAGAATTAATACATGAAGAGTTTAACATAAGGTGAAGTAAGACCAACAATGGAATATTTGGAATGAAATAGGAGTCAAAAATTGCCAAAAGAGGAATCATTCTCCTTATCTTTCTTGAACTCCTTTGAAACTTCTTCAAGTCTACAATCAATTTCCAATACTCCAACAACATTTTTCAATTAAATACTCAACACGAATTCGAATCACTGCCAAATTCTAACATCTTCATCGAGCGTGTAGATAGATGCTGTTTGGTAAGACTAATAGTACTACATTGTGTGGGACAGAATAACATTCCTTCTCACCTCCTCGTCTCTGAGTTAAGAGATCTTCCATTTCGCTCTAGCAAGCGAGAAGCTTAAAATCTTATTTGTGATCTTACCTTTTGTTTCCTTCTTAAATCTTACCACCGGACTAAGACTAAGTTGAGAGTATTTCAAGTAAACTTTCTCTTGCAAGTGTCATCGTGAGATGCGGTACTCTTTTTAAAAGTAGCTTTTAAATATCCGATGAGAAAAGCATTAAAAAAGTTGAAAAAATTGGGAGAAAAAAAACTTATATGCATGCCAATAAAGATAAAGAATTCTTAATAGGCTGTTAATATTTGGAATGCAGGTCAATTCTCCACTTTTATACACAACTATGATATTATGACGGGTCATGCTTATTCTTTTCGTGATAAACAGAAGTTTACAGGTCATACTTTTGTAAACTAATGAAAAGAATAGCTAAGGATAAAGAACAATTCCCCTTGTACAGGCTGCTAATAGGTGTTGCCAATGCAGCACCTGTATTGTGCATTTTTTGTTTGTTTTTGTCAAGAACCAATGTAAAAATGTCAAGTGGAAATCAGTAAAAAATTTGGGAAATTTCACCTGTACCACCTAGTGTGACGCCCCTCATTTTTAGTCAAGGTCAAGAGAAATAATTGGTCAAAGTCAAATAAGGACTTAAATGGAACAAATACTTTTCATGGCAATTAAATTGTAATTATAAATGTTCAAGGGCTAGAAATTGTGTAATATAGGGATCTAGGGATTTAGTTTTTATTTTTGAAGATGTGAGGACTAAATGTGATATTGTATGAAGATTGGGGGACTTAACTTGCAAATATCCCATAATTACCTATTAACTTAAGAGAGAAACGTCATTTTTTATCATTTTTGGACGAAATGTCCAGAAAGACCGAGAGAAGAGAAGAAAGAAAGGAAGAGTAGGAGGAAAGAAGAAGAGGAAGTAGATTTCCAAACTTGGTGCTCCATTTCTTCAATTTCTCATTTAATTTAGAGACGTAAGAACAAGTATATTGAATTAAATATTTTTAGGGTTTATGGAAAAAAATTTTCAATTCAAAATTTGTTGGAAAAATTGGGTTTTAATTAGTTGGTTTGATCAACTTTTGACCAATTAATTTAGTGAGTCCCGTTAATCGGATATAAGATTTCTTTGGCCGAATGTATTCTACTCCGTGAGTAGATTAATATGGTATATTTATTTTCTCAAAACCAATTTAGGGTGAATGAGAAATTAAGGCTAAAAGATATCCACTTGATGTTGAAATAAAATAGGTGGGAAATTGAAAAATACCAATTCCACATAGAAAAACTAGAAGAATATAAACCACCTTATATAACTCAAGTTGACTTGGGTTTGGGCCCCAAGGGGTACCAATAGTCTTTGAGGGGGAGAGAACCTACATGCTAGTAGGTTATGCCGAAACCCACGCGCGCGCGCCGTCGCAGCCGGTCGTCGACAGGTCACGAGTCGTGGGCTTGAGCCAAGCTGATATATATTTTTTGATAAAATAACATTTGAATTATGTTATTTTATTATTATTTAATAATAATAATATATTTTATGTTATTATATTTTTCTTCTCGAATTTTCTGTGTGTGACACGTGGTGCTTCTAGAATTTGACGGTTGAATGTCTAATCGGTTATAGCGGTTGGCTGTCCAAACTGTTTGTGTCTTTGGGACACAACTTTTCGGCAGTTGTGTCTGTTGGGACACAACCTTTCAACATCTATATATATGCCCCCATACCCCTGTTTTAATTCATTCCAAAAATCAGAATTGATTTTCTACTCTCCCAAAATTATCTCATTGTCCCTGCATCATTTCTGTTTTTTATAATTCAATCCTCGAAATTATTTTCCGTGCATTTTAGTCATCCAGTTTGTGTAGAGAGATCTAAACTTTACGGGTTCGTCGGGTCTTGTAATTTGGAGTACTGCTATTACAAGATGAGGTCGTTGTATCTTGAGAAACGAGTGCTGCAATATCGTTAGTACTAGTGCGGGGCATTATCGTTTTAAGGAGAAAGAGTTGAACTCTTGCCTCGATCATTCAAAACCATCCAAACGTCATTATTCTGCCCAAATATATATTCGCGGTGACACTATTATTAGCCAATATCCTTCAACAAAATTTAGCTAGAATTAGATATTATTCATATGTATTTGGTGTTATAATTAGAAATATAGCAAAGAAACATGTTTATTTGAATGTTGAAGTTGAAGAAAGTGGAACTTTGTAAAAGGGTTTATGAAATGGATATTTATTCTTTGATCTTTTTGGAATTATATGATGTCAAGCATTTAAATTAAGGATTTGGGGTTGATTTCTCCATTTTTAAGCAATTAATATAAGTTATTTTTGGACAAAATCCTACTCAGGTGCTGTTTCTAAAAATCTGTCCAGAATAGCGTTATTTCTGTCAAAGGTTTTGATACCAGATTTTAATATAGAAATTGGTATCAGATTTTCATATTATAGGATTTTAGTGCTGTTTTTGTCAAATCTCTTATTTTCAGATTTCTAAAGGTTTGAATGAAGTTACATGACAAATATTAGAGTTTATGTATTCGACTAAATTCGATGTAAGGGTTGTATATGAATAAGGTAGTGATTTTAAGGAAGTGCGAGGGATTTAATGGATTTGATAATGAATGGTGATTAGTCGATAAATCATTAAAGAAACGAAAACTTTGTCATGTATATCGGTACTAACCGATACATGAGTAATGTTATTCGTTGGGTACCTTTTTGGTGTGATTTTTCAGTATTTCTACAGTTCATCAGATTTCAGATTATAGAATTCAGTTAATTCAATTTTCAGAATAAAGCTTTCAACTTATAGTATTGAGCAGCAACAATATTTCATAGATTTTCATGGATATCAGGTTAATTATGTCATTATACTTTACAGTTGCCTATCCATAATTAAGAACAAAGAATTGTATAATGCAATCATGTTTAGTTTTAAAAGTATTACCAGATTTTAGAATTTTTCAAAATTTTAAAAGAGTTAGAATTTTCAGAATATATACATAAAAGAAAAATATGTTTATTTGCAAATTATCCATTCGCTGAGCTATAAGCTCATACATCTTTTCACCATTTTCTTTATCAGATAGCATTCGAATTGAGCAGCTTTGGAGCTTGTTAAACCACCGAATTGGGCCATGATTCGTAGATTGTATGACATCCTTTATCAGATTATACAGTATATGTTCTTTCAGGGTACATGTATCTTAAATCAGAAAAATTTATCATAGGCTTATTACATATTCGACGTATTTGGTATATTTGAGAATTGTTGGTTGTAAAGTAAGTAAATATTGATGGCCGGCATTTTGTTTGAATAGTTTGTATTTTGAGATACTGGCGTATCCTGTTTTATATTATAGGTATTGAATTTAGGAAACTTGGTTATTGTTCAGGTGGTTTTAGTTCATATTTTAAGGGATATTCTGTCAAAATTTTGTTAAAAATATTTTTTAGTCAAGCGAGTCAAGTTGCCTTGGTGGTGGGTCCGACGTTTAGTTGGTATCTACCATCGGTGCACGACACGGATCTACTAGGATGATTCGAACGGGTCGTGTCACCTAGCATGATTCATAAAGTTTACAAGAATAAAAAGTAAGAACATGTCACACGAATTGTCCAAGACATTTGAGATTATGAGTTCCAGATAATGAGTAGGTCCCCATCAAATTGAGGGGCATTGCAATTTGCAACTCAGGGAAAAAAAGAAAAAGAAAAAAAGAACCAAGTCCAGAAGAACGATCACTTTGTCCCAAATCAGTTGGTTGGTGCTATGATTGGAGGTTGACAGCAGGTTTTGGTCCCCAATTCTGGTAACTAGAGGAACCAAGCCTTTAGGACAGAGTGCAATTTGAAAGAATTCATAATATTTGTGGGCTCGAAAGGTTAATTTGTCAGTTGTCTTTAGAATTAATTTCAAAAATGGTTGCCGAAGTTCTTTTGAAAGTTTAAGTTAATAATTAAAATGATGATACTAAATTGACACTCTTCTAGCGATAACTACTCTCTAATATTGGCCTGTTAAAACCTTGATGTCGACTAATGATTGTTATGTCCATATTGTGAAATTGTAAATATTCAAATATAACGTGATTCTTATAAGGAAAAATATAATGTTCAACCAAAAAATCCATACTGTAACCTTTAACTAACCCTATTCGTCATTAATAATTGGCCAAAAAGTCGCAACATGGCTAAAAAAGAGAGCAATTGGAAAGAATCAATTGCTTTTTTTTTTTTTTTATGATACTTGATTTAAGAAATACTCTTTTACGCCTAATTTACGAAATACATTATAAAGTACTAGATTTTTGAATTTTAGACGATAAATACAAGAACCTAATTTCCTCAACTTGCAGGAATAGAAAAGTAATCCAAATTATGTATTTACTTTAAAGCAGCTTAACCCTTTCCTGAGAAATCCCGCATTGATTCCAATGAAGAAAGATGATGAGGAAGCAAATTATAAAATGGGTTCGAGAACATTGTTTTAAGTCTAGGCCTATTCAATTTATCATTAACTGGATGGTTAGAATTTCAACGAGGATAGGGTGGCAATATATCGAGTCGAACTGTCTCAAGACTTATACATTCAAGTTCAGTTCGGCCCTTTGGCTCGTGAATTTCATGGACTAAGTCAAGTCTTCCCCAAGTCGTTTCATTTTAAAAAATTTTAATAAGTCAATAAAAGAAGCTTAAAAATGAGTTGACTAGTGAAAAAAGTGAGCTCAACTTGTTTTGGTCTAATCCATGACTCGTCTAAAATGAGCTTGACCTCCCCATATGTCGAGCTAAGCCGAGTAGAGCAACTTAACCTGTTTGCCACCCGTAAGTGAGGACTTGCGTGCATGTCAACAAGCTATCTACGGCTCTAATTTTATTAATATTCAAAATTAACCAACTAAAAAACAATAATCCTAGTATTCCTAGGAAAAGACTAAAAAACCTAATTAAGGATGTCCCTTAGAGAAATAATTATTAGATATAAATGGTAATTCGATTATAATTGACTAAGGGCCCGTTAAACAGATTTTATGAAAAGTCAAGCTTTATTTATGAAACTAGAAAACAACATTTACTTTTACTTGAAAGATTTTTATACATGGAATAATATTAGAATAAATTAGTCCAATATGATTTCTCCAAGAAGTTCTGATATGAAAGGTGTCAACGAACCGAACTAACTCGGGCTCAACTCAGGCTTTTTAAGACGAACTTTTTTTGGTCCAAACCGAGCATGTCGAGCCCACTTAACCGATGCCATTTGCATGGGCCATTAATTAGACAAACCAACACCATTCTCGGCCATTGATTTTAAGGATAGATCAAGTTTAAACACAAAGTTTTCGTTGTCTATGACGATTTAACAACTAGAGAGCAGTGAAAAAAGAAAGGAAAAAAAGAAGATATTAATCATAAATGTAGGGCGTTGACTACATTGCATGTTTTATTAGATTCATTTACTACGTACAAATGTAGGGCGTTGACTACCGAGTTTTCTTCTACTGAAACCCACTTCTACGCTGAACTATTATTGGATACCGCTTTTGAGTCCGCGTCGTTGGGAAGAAAACTAGCTTGTCTTGTTCTGCCAGCTCCCAGCTGTGGAACAAATTTACCAAAACTTGGTTTAACGTTTCAAAAATTAACACGACTAGCGAGTATAGTGGAGTCACTAGTGTAATATACCTAAATCGAGTGACCATGTGNAAAACTGACGGAATATGGACGGAAGGACGTCCAGCGCAAAGAAAGGTTGAAATGAAGGCAAAAATGCCAAAAAATGAAAAGTATGGACGTTTTCCACAATAGACTTGAAAGGTAGGGACTTTTTGTGCCAATTACCCTTTTTTTAATTAAAAGGACACAAAAAGGCCCTAAATCGAAGTTCGATGACTCAGTTCACACACAAAAATTTATTCATTCAATTGGAATTCTAGTGAATCAGACGAAAGACGAAATTGCCCCGTACAACATAACAAGAAAAATGCTGTTTGTATGTTTTTTCACAGCAATTTTCACATCCACTCAAAAAGGTGGGATTCACAATTATTTTAATCGTTAACCCCACCCATTTGCATTGTATGTGTGTGCTGTTAAAATTGATGTACGTGTAGAATGGTTGACATAACAATTGTGGCAGGGTGAGGCTAAGGCGTGCAGATTGTTTGGTGAGTGGGGGCATCATATTGTCCTCTTGCAGGCAACGAATGTCGTCTGTCTGCTCAACACCTTTTTACTACTTTGACTTTGGTGCTGTACTTTTGCCTACTTTTGACCATGCCGACTACTAAATTCTAGCTGCCCAAGATTCATAAGTGGGACTGTAAAGGCATTTCGTCAATTCAACATGGGTATTCTAGACACATTCCCACGTGTGGACATTGAAAATTTGAGAGTTCTAAACTAACATTACAGTCCCAATTGTTGACTTCGACGTTCGTTTCCTAACAGGGACGGATCGAGGGGCGTGGCGGGTAAAAATATAGTTATTAAATTTTTAATTAATTTATTTATTTTTAAAAATTAAATTATTCGAATATATTTGATAAATTAAAATTTTTATTACTTATCATATTCGTTAGATAATTTTAGTTGTTATATTTTATTAGAATTAATAAAATTTCGTAGAGTTTTTCATTTAAAGTATTGAATTTTTAAAAAAAATTAAACACGTGGGCAAGCGCCTATTACCCCGTCCCCAAATTGACTTAGTATCTAAACATTATCACCAAGACCTTGACAATTTGTAAAATTATGAATGCAGACAAGACAAAATTTGATGCAGAGAACAGAGATTTTTGTGTGCTTGAAATGGAGAAAGATGACAGAATAAATAGGCTATAGAGGATAATTAACAGGCTAGGAGTCATGTTATTAACCCCCATTAACCCGGGTGTTAATCTCTCCATCAACACAAATATTATCATATGAGTTTCAGGAATTAAGAGAATTTAGAAGGTTTTCATTTGAAAAAAAATAAAATAAAGACAAAACGTGGACCCTCCTAAGAGCTAATTTTTGGTCCATTCGATCCAACATTCGTATGCACAAGTCGCGTATGCACACAAGTTCAAGGCCCGAAACCTATTTCGATCCTTGATTTGACCCCTTCGAGTGTACGTGGAAAGAACCTTTATATTGCACATGATTACACATTTTTCAAAGTGTAATCATATATTTAAAATTAATGCTACTTGACCAAGGCTAAAAACAGATTCAAAAATAGGTTGCTGAGGTAGCACCACCTCAGCCATTGATCTGAATTGCAAAATTCAAATGCAATTAAAATCAAGGGCAGAAGCCACCACCTCAGCCACTTGTTTTTGGGTTTGTCTTCAGCCCTGTTTCAATAGCAAAGCTCTATAATTAAAGTGGTCATTATCTTTATCTATTTTCCTACATAAGATAACTTTAAAATAGTTTTCCTTTCAATACAAAACCTCTTCCAATGTACAACTTTGAACTCCAATTTCTTATTTACCCG